GGTGGAGTTTGAGTTCTCAGTGTTACAGGGAAAGGGTTTTTTTCTTTCTCCTCCCTTCCTTAAAAAGCTGTCCACTGAAATGCTGGAAGAAGTCCAAAAAAACAGAGAATGCCCAAAAATATATATAATGAACAATACTTGGTCAACTTTGCAAGCTTTATTATGATTTATCTTCACATCAGAAAACTTCAAACGAGTGGAAAGCTTTTAAATTGTATACATACATTTTTATAATATATTTCCTTGCTGATAAAGAGCAGTAATCTCACTAGAAGAAAAAAAGACATTCTGTGTCCTCCATCTCTGTCATAGCTCCCTCTTATTTGTAGCTACATGCCCATGAACTGAGACAAAACTGTGCATTTTTTACACTGGTGATGACTCCTTGTTTTATGTGCTTAATAACTCTTCGTAGATTAGCTCTGTGCTTTATATTATTTTATATGCTGCATTTCCCTTCCCCGTGTTCCCAACACTTACGTGATAGAGAAGTGTGCTGCAGAATTAAAGGTTTAAGGCCCGTGATTTAAACCTTGAATGGGAATTTTTAGTGGGGGAATTTTTTAATTACTTTCTGATTTTTTTTGGCTTATCAGATTCTTAATGAAGCAGTCATATGTGTCAAATGTGTTGCATAAGTTAAAAGAGGGAGAAAAAATATATGAAGTTAGAGTCCATACATTTGATTTTTCTGTGTCCCAGCAGTTTGATTTGAGTTTGTATATAAAATATATGCTTAATAGATCTGTAAAGTTTATATACAGAGTCATAGAGCTACAACTAGATAGATACAAAGAATGAACCAGCCAAGGAAAATATATTGCACTGTTTGATTTAACTTGCAAACCTGTCAATGGTTTTTATTAAAATGTAATTACTGTACATTATGCACTTCATCTCATATTGATCTGCTTCAAAACTTCCTTTCCCTGTCAAATTGAAGTAAATTACTTCATTGTAGTAAGAGAAAATGAGAGCCATTCTTCTAAATATTTAGCACAATTTCCAGCTCGCATTCATCCTTGGCAAGTGTATTTTTGTCTGTAGACTAGCTTGACATGTCTAAGGAGCCTATGTCGTCACACACAATTACATCTGTAATCCCAAGCAAAGACACAGATGTCATGTTCAAAAAAAAAAATCTTGTGTCCTAAAAGTCACTTATGTAATGATAGGATGAAAAACTGAAACCCGCCTCCCCTATCACCCCCCAACTGTTTTAAGTGTCCAAGTTTCAGATAGCCACTGGTTTTGTCTTACTTGTTTCATTATTTGAGAAAATAATTTCCAATCTCGTCTTATCTACATCACTGTTTGTAAATAGTTCTTACCCTGCATAGGCAGCAAGCTCTGATTACGTTTGGCTGAGAAACACATTGGCCAGCTCATGGTGTAAATCCCAGTGACTACTAAAGCCATTGTCCTGGTGGTGATGTAACTATTTTCACTGTGCCATTTGCCTGTGTAGCATATTCTTTCTTTGCCAATAACAATATGAAACTGTCATTATGTGATGGTCTAGGCTTCGTTACACCTTAGTAACGTTTTAGTCAGTGTTGCAATTAAGCTGCATGTTAAATAGGAAAGGTGATGAACCTAGCTGAAGAATAATGCTTCACTTATGGATGGTAAGCATTTGAGATTTATACACGTTTTATTCTTGTTTATCTGCTTATGGCAAGCTTCTTTCACTTATCCAAATCATCTCAGCTCTGTACCATCCAAAATGACACAGTTGCACTTCCATCTGGATAAAATACTGCAAGCATGATGTATTACTTCCAGTAAGTGCAAATAGAAATCTCAATAGAAAAAAGGCATCATGTTTAGAAAAACGTTCATGTTAAATTTTGGAAATATTTCATCAGAACTTCTGTTTGTTTTGGGTTTTATCTTTTTAATCCCAGTCAATAAAACAATATCTGAGAACCATTAAACATTTCTGCTAAATTTGCCTGTGCCCAGGGTTTATTTTTCCCCCTCTAAAACAAGTATAACTAGTTTTTAACCAGTATTCAATACAGACCAGTGTAGATTCCTCCCTGAGGTAAGTGAGTTGGCTTCAATAGAGTTCTGCAAGGCATGATTTTGGCTCATTGTGTTTCAGTCTGTCTTTCACACATTATTTGATGTAGGTCTTGCTCATGTTGTTCACCTGATGGCAATCTGGATAACAGTGCACATTTAATTTTTCCATTTTTTTTAAAATCAGCATGGTGGTGTTCTCATTAGTTTCCTTCCCTCGTTGTCATTTTTGTGGCATGAGGGTTACACTGACACCACTTTTGGCCTCTTCCACAGCAGGATATTGCAGTGTTGACCATTATCCGGGAAACCAGACTGCTACCACAGTACTGCAAGTGAGAGATCTTAGTTCCATTCAGTAAATGATCCTCCCTTTTCTGGTTCTTTTTTTTTATCTGCTTTTTGAATAGCTGTAGAGGCACAGACTATAGCATTTGTTCTGTAATGCTCTTTGTTTAGGTATTTATGACTTTCCCTGTGACCCCCCTTAACTAGTCACAGGTCTCCACTGTAGAAAGGAATGGGAAATGTAATCTGATTTTTCACCCTTAAAATAACTCCATTGACTTCTCCAGCGCTTGTCCAAATAATCATCACAAACTATTACTGTAATAACTAGTAAATTAATATGTTTGGAGCTTAATGTAGCAGGGAGATGACTATCAGATCTAGATGTAGTGAAGACATTACTTTCCATCACCACCTGAATAATATAGTCGAGTACCGAGGTAGAACAGATGTGTTCTGAACCTAGACAGAAAAAGAAAATCGAAAAAAATTCTGCAGGGTTCCTCTATCAGACAGGCATGTCTTAGGGCCAACATTTTTAAAAGTGGCCTCTAATATTTTTGAGGGCCAAAATTAGAACACATTGGGCCTGCGTTTTCAGAAGGGCTGAACACCCACAACTCAAGGGTAACAGGAGCGATGGGTATTTACAACTTCTGAAAATCAGGCCTAAGGTTGCTTAAGTTAAATACCCAGAATTAACTGTCATCTTTGAAAATTTGAGCCCAGAACACTTAATGGCGTCGGTCAAAGATCCAAAGTATTATGCACCCCAGATACTGATTCATTAAAAAAAAGTTACTCTTTCATCCAGTGACTTCCAAGCACTTTACAAGTGTTAAACCTCAGACCCCTGTGACATAGGTAAATAGGATAGCCAGGGCTCTATGAAATATTCACAATGAAATTTGAAAAATCTCAGTATTTGAGGGCTTAGCATTGTATACCATTTTTGCTTGGAAATGGGACCAATTCTGAATGATTGTTTTTAACAAAATTCAAAATTTCCAAGCAAAAACCTCCGTTTTTGAAATTTCATCCCAGTATACATGGGGGGGTTCTCTTGCATAAAAACCATGAACTCTTGCATGTTTTGGTGCCAGTCCTCCATTTTACAAAGATATCACACAAACTTAATTTAGGGCACTTAAGCACAGGTATACTCAGACTACTCTCATGCATAAAGGCAACACATGCACACATGTTTGAAGGAGATGGGCTTTACTGGACTGTGAAATTGCCTGGAATTATACCGTGAAAATATTTTTGCAACATGTTATAAAAAAAACCAACCAATTAAACACTGTCACAGAACCCTAATTATATCACCATTCTACATACTGATAAACTGAGACCTACTATTTTTTAAGTGACTTATCCAAAAATGAAACAGTCATTGGCAGAGCTAGGCATAGCACACAGGAGTCCTGGTTCCTGGTCCCCATTTGGCACAGTCGCTTGTCGGTTAACCTCAGCTTAAAAAGAGAAGAGGCTGAGAACATGTAGTTGTAGAAAACGCAGCTCAGTTTAACAGACACACAATTACATCTTGAGTGCAAAATAAACGTGTGGGAAAACTTCTTGTAAGTGGATCCATGTAAGAATAACAAAAACCCTCTGAGCTGTTTCCTGGCTGCTGTCACTCCCAGCTCTGGTTGCACATGCTCAGGAAGGTGTCCTGAAGATTTCCCACAGCAGCTGGGGTGGGGGAGTTTAAGCTACAGTCCCCATATGTGCACACAGATTCTTCTCACCTGCTCCAAATGCCAGTTTACAGTGCAGAGACAGAAGAGCAACAGTTACTCTGACTTATAATATTTGCTACTGATTTCATGAACTAAGATGTGTGTGTTTAGGGCATGTCCCCCACTTAACCCTAATGATACACATTTGTACAACAAAAGAGATTCCTGTTCTATTTCTATTACAGAACTGTTTGATCTGTTTCTCTTGATTGGCTCTTCCCTTCCTTTTCCTTTTGGGATAAACACCTGTTTGCTTATGGAATGATTGTTGCCCAGAGTCTATTTTCTGAGGTAATAGGAATGCTAGAGTCTTTCCTCAAAAACCACAGTTTTAAAGGCCTATACAAACATAGAGAGTGAAATTCTGGCCCCATTGAAGTAAGGGCTTCAGTGGGGCTGGGATTTCAGTGTTGAATAAATTTGTTTGCACACACTCAAGAAAACAAAACTGATGAGTCTGTCTTGTTTGTTAACATATATAGTACTTGAAATGTATGGATATCCTAGCAAAACCTAATTCTAGGGCCATATTCTGCTTTCACTTACACCTGTGTTGATCAGGAGTAACTGCATTGGAGTTAATGGAGTGGCACCCAAAAAAAAAAAAGTGTGAGATCAAAGTCAGGAGCCCTGTGGTAATAGTAGTTGGAGTTGGAAAATGCATGGTAGATCAAGAGTCTACCCTCTGAGCAGGGCACGTTTGTATTTCCCTAATAGAGAATGTATCGATGGTCAACTGATACTCTGCTGAGTCTCCCAGGATTCTGTTCCTCCATCCAAACTGCTTCCTAAAGCTTCAAATACAGTAAACTTGTGTGGTATGCAGCCACTTCCCACTTGACACAGAAACCAAGTTCAGATAATACTCAGATAGGAGCAACTATAGACTGAGAAGTGTTTTAAGTCCTGCTTATCTAACGGGAAAACTCCTTTTGATTGCAGGTATTCGCCCACAAATAATGAATGGCCCTATGCATCCTCGTCCTTTGGTGGCTTTGTTAGATGGAAGGGACTGTACAGTGGAGATGCCAATTTTGAAAGACTTGGCTACTGTTGCATTCTGTGATGCACAATCAACTCAGGAGATTCACGAGAAGGTAAATTTAACTTCTGTAACTTTTTGAAGGGGAAAAAGATGTTTGTCCACTTTAATACCATATTTATTTTCCTGTTTGGAAGCTGCATTTTAGTGTGATAAACTGATCATACTTCTAAAAATATCTGTGGCTTAATATTCAGTAGAACTGGCTGGAAATCAGGATGTAATTTTCATGGACATTTCAGAAGGGTTTTGTTTGGCTTTTTTGCATCAAAATTTTTGATTTAAAAAATGCCCTCAACATTTCTAATTTCGAAGTTTTTCAGACAACTCTCACATTCAGTGTGAGGTCCTACGCTCAACTGAGTGGCATCGGTCTGTCTGTTTGGATGCAAACTTTTGAATGTTGCACCCAATCAATTCCAAAATTTCAGGGAAAATTCTAGGTGTCAGTGGGCAGAACTCTGTTGATTTTGGAGAAAATCAGTCAACTGGAAGAGGGAAATGGGGGACCCAAGGAGCCTCTGGAATCTGGTTAGCACATACATCAGCTTCAACCAAGTCTATAATTGTCTCTGTATCAAAGAACTGATTATTGACAGCCATTAACACTTTGCAGCCTAATAGCACCCCTCATTTTCAGCTTGGCCCATCCTCCCAATAGAGTTTAAAATGTTGACACCCTGAATGATTTACCTCCCTAGACTGAAAGGAAAAAAAATAACGGAGATGGGGGAAGGAGGGCACACACAGAGCCTCTGGCATGGGGGGAAATGCGTGATCCCAGTATGGGAGAATTGGTGGACCTCAGAATGGGAGAGACAGAGAGTTCTCACTGAGGGGTGGGGGAGTTGCAGGGAGTCCCTGAAATAGAGGGGTAGGGAAGGTGGCACACAGGGAGCTTGTGGGGGAGAAGAAAGGGATGCAATGACCTTCTGAGGTGTGCAGTGAGCTCAGCCTAAAGAAGGAACCGTGTGTGATCCTCTAGTGTAGTAAATACTTGTATAATACCAAAGGAGCACATAGAAAAGCACGTAGAAATGCTCACCAGTTACATTTCTTCTTATATAACTGGACTTTTCCCTAAGCTTGTACCGGTGTATAAGATCTCCTCGAAGTTAACAGGGCATGAATTGCCTACAGAGCTCTGGTGCAGAGTCTCCTCTAAGGATGAAGCATCTCACAAATACTGGACCTTACCTGAGTATGTGCCCTCAACTCCTGTTAACTGTGCCACAGTCACGGGTGCACAGCACCACGAGCTCAGCACCTTGCAGGGGCAGGCCCATTGGTTCCATTGTAGACTACTGTAACGGTTGTTGCCAGTTTTTCCCCGTTTAAATTACTAGGATTTTCTGACGTCCTTTTGTTGTGTTTCAGGTATTAAATGAAGCCGTTGGGGCAATGATGTACCACACTATCACCCTCACCCGAGAAGATCTAGAGAAGTTCAAGGCCTTAAGGGTCATCGTTCGAATAGGTAGTGGATATGACAACATCGATATCAAAGCTGCAGGGGAGCTCGGTACGTGTCCATTCCATGCCAGTGACCCCTCTGCCATTTGTTTGTTTCTCTTTAAATCAGCCCAGGTGACATTGTTTCTTGCCTGCATTCGATCAACGTGGCACGGCAGACCAAATTTTCAAGTGGGTTTTGACTCAGTCCCTAAAATTGTGGGTGCAGTTTTGTGTGTTTTAAGATGTTGCATGCAAAAGAACATGACTGTGAAATACACAAAAGTGTGGACAATTGTGTAATTTTAGAAACTGCTTTTTAAAACTTGCCCCAGTTAGAAATATATATATCCACCCACAGCACAAAAAAATGAGATTGATGTATGTTTCAGATGGTTTTTATTAGTTCTGTGGGGTGTTTTTCTTATTCTTGTTAGTATTTATTTTTCCATCATGTTTAATTTGTATCTGCATAATCAAATAGAAACTACCATCTACAGTTGCAGGCACTTTTTTTGCAATCACGATAACTCGTGTCCTTAAATTTAATTGCATTTGTACACCAGTTGAATAGTTATGGGTCTACCCAAGTTGCATGCAAATGCAGATTGCTTGTGGAACTCTGGGGATTTGCACATACAAATAACTAGGTGAGCTAAATTGCATCTACAATTCTAGTCGCTGTGTTGAGACCTCTTTTGATAATTTGATCCAAAGAATGCAATCCATCAAGAAGTACCATGACAGCATTGCTCAAGATTGCTTGTGTTAAAGATTTTCTCTCAGGAAAATAAGAACAACAGACATTTAGACCCTTAGATAATTCCGGTGAAATAGTTTCAAATAGTCATTCCTAAAAAGCAGATACTAGCATAGTGAAGTATTTTTCAGCTAGAGGAGCAGTGTCTTCTTAGTGTGACAGATTATTCTCTATTTGTAACTCTTACTATTGTCATCTATGCTATCCAGGTTCAAAGGCCTTCAGCATTTAAAAAAAGCTGAACAAAGTACACAAACATAGCTGCATAATCCTCCCTTTTAAACATTGCAAATTGAGTGGCCAAATGATGGGATTTGAAGTGGAAGATGTAATTTCTACCTACAAATGTAGCCGGAAGTTTAATTGGCACCATTATCTAGAAGGGAATTTTTTTAAAAACTAAGGAGAGATCTTTAACTCTGTATAGCTGATACATGACAGGTGGCTAAACATAGTGACGAGTCATGCGGTATCCACCCTCTGAACACAAGTGGCTCAGTTCTGATTTCAGACATACAGGCTCATTTAACGCATACACTCTCCTTCTGAGCTATCTCCTACTTGGAATAATTACCGTAATAGCAACGAAATTCAACCTTTACACCGAATTGTTAATTCATTTTAAATTGTGGAATTGAAACAGAATCCCTGTGTTACCTAACAGCATTCCAGATGAACACCCTGTGCTACAGAAAGTTCAGAGCTACCTCTCCCCAGCTTCTTTGCTGTTCCTAATGATTATGAGAAGCAGAAATTAATAACAACAATAGGGTTGTACAGTCTAATAGGAAGAGCCCTGTTGTGATGGAGCTGCTTTTGTTTTACTTTAGGGTGGCTGCAATCCCTGTAGTCTCACACCTGCGTTGTAACAGTTTCTGGGATTTGTAAAATAATGTCAGTGGCTATATATTTGAAAAGACTTATTTTTTTTTCTCCCCCACTTGTTCCTGTCTGTTGCCTCGGTATGGATAACAATTCTGTTTTTCTGTCTGATCACAGGTTTTTCATATCAGTACTTTTTTTACATTAACAAAAGCTTTTTTTATCATTCTATTGGAGACAGGAGAATGACATTTTAAAATGTTCTCACAGCTCTACTGAGAAATTAACTTTATTTTTTCATGTCCCCATAGAGATGCACTGTATATAAAAGCAAAGGCAGCATTCCCCCGTGGATCTGGGCAGTGCTTTGACTCAAAACTTTGTATACTTTTGCATAACAGATGTGCAGCAGTTCTGACAGATTGGAACAGAGCAAATATCCCTAAGGAAAAGAGCTTCTGTAATGGTCAAACCATTTACTATTCATTGCTATTAGTTATAAACCAAAGCTACAGCTGCTAATGTCTCCTTGCCAGCTTCTACTCTTGTGACAGGGATAAATATCTTTGGTTAAACAGATACATGATAGGTCCTCTGCAGTTTGTAGATCTTATGTAGTTAACTTCTGAAACTTCAGAATCACGTATAGATGTTTTCATGATGCCCTGTGCTCTGAAGAGGAAATCTCCCTGAATCCACTTGTGTAGAAATATTAACAATCATGCCAGCCAGCCTTGACACTACAGGCTAATCATGTACTCCATATCAAGAAGTTTTTGAGGAAAGAATATAAGCCAAAGTAGATGATCATGGCTATAAATCTAATTCTCACCTCCCTTTCAGATACTTTAGCAATAACTGTTCACAATATTCATGTTAGATTTTAATTAGAATTGTCCAGGATGACACTGATTTTGCAAACCAAGATAGTCTTCATCACACACCTAACGGCCTAATTATCTGTGTTATGTGTTTATAGACTGTGAACGGAGTCCCAGGGCGGGCCTCACTGAGATTGCTCAGTTAGGGCAAACTGCAAAGAATGACACAGACAATCCCCAAAACTGGTGGTTATTCTAATACTTAGATTCACCAAGCCAGCAATGAAACAACTTCTACAATACCTTCCTGGGTACCCAGAAGCCAGAAACACAGTTCCCTTGAAGCAGCCCAGCCATGAGCTCCCACCCAGACAGCCAAGTCAAATATGATGAGGATTACTGAAAATCTTGTTCATCATATAAAAACTTCTACCAATCCCAAAGGATCAGAGACATTACCCACCAGGTTAATGAATATTGCAGATCTTACCCAAATATACTCGTACAGCCGATTCGTATTAACTAAACTAAGATTTATTTAAAAAGAAGAGAGAGTGAGTATAGATTAAAAGATCATTATACATACAGACTTGAGTAAAAATTTTAGATCAGTTTCATAATAGAGATGAGCTTTAGAGTTGCAAAAGTTCTTTCAGAATTAGTTCTATAGGTCACAGTCCAATGTCCAATATTAGGGTGACCCAGACTGGAGCTGGGGACCTTAGTCTTGCAACTCAAACTTCCCCTGATGAAGATTAAGCAGATCTGAGATAAAAGGATCAGGGTCCAAGAGTTCTTTTTATAGTTCTCAAGCAGGCTATCGATAGCATCTTGACAGCAGGCATTCCTTAGGTGAAGAATAGTCATTTTGAAGTAACCTCCTATTTCCTAAGCATCATAGGTAACAAGCTGCATGGATTAACAATAAGGCAACTGCTCATCTCTTGCCATTTACAGGTAGTTTATTACATACTTCAAAGAGAAATGAAGACAGTGATATTACTACATTCAGTTCATCTAAATGTTAATATCTCCTTTTGATTTTTGAATTAGCAGAATACAGTGATAGACAGGAACTGTTTGGTTACATTGTCAACCTCTAACAATGCATATGTAAACACACAAAAAACACAATCATAATGTACTAATACGTCTCTACAGGTTGAATCTGAGTCATTTATCCTGCTAGTTGTGTAACCCTTTCTGGCCCTGTGTCACACAGTCATTTTTATGGAGACATTTTCCCTATATTTCACCTTCTTTTTTTTTTTTTTTTTTTTTAACTCCTAATGTCAGGAAATTATTCTATAAAAATGTCTCTCAAGCCCCTTGCCATAACTGGTTGGACTGTGATGAATTAAAATTTCACCTTTGACATTTTTTAAAATGGTCTTCTTCAGCAACATCCATACTAGATGGGGTGATGAAACTTTTCTGAAATCAGTCATGCACACGCTGAATGCAAGCAACATCGGGACATGTCTAACTGTGTTATCCTCAGTGAGGGGTTGTTAAAAGTGCGGTGCATACATTTTACTTCTGTCCTGCATTCCCGTGCTGCTGCAACTGAGTAAACAGGCAGTGTGCGAATAATACAGTTTAAAGTCTCTAATGTCTGTGCTGAAATTCCTCCTGTTATGGTAATATTTAGATCTTGATAGCACAGCTTTTGTTCCCTTATTGCAAAGAAGAAAGGGGTTTTCATCCGATCCTACTCCTGAGAAGACTCAACAAATACAGGTACTGGCCTCAGATTCAGAATGATAACTCTTGCCTGCATCATTCCATCTCTCCAAGCTCAAGATTGGTTTATAGCTCTTGACTTGCAGCAGGATCCTTAGATTCACAGTGGGGCCCAACAATTAACAATACAGAGTACTGCCCTTCATACTCTCCACAACACCAAGAATATTCACAAATGCCTGGGGATGGGGGCAGCACACTGAAGGAGAAAGGGACTCCACATCTGTCCGTGCCTAGATGGCAGGCTGATCAGGGGCAAGGTCCAAGCAGGAAACTGCAGCACCCCTAGAGTCCTCTCTCAGTTCTCCAATTTGGACTCCTTGTGAACTATGAAAAAGAGTCCGTAACAGCATTCTGACAGTAGAGTTCATGGGAGCCAAGATCAACTCTGTTGATGAGAGCTCACCTGCTAGGGGGACAAGTTCCTGTCTATTCAGTCAGTGACAAGGGACTTCCAGTCGAACCTGGCAGCAATGGTGTGTACATGCCTGGGGCTGCTGAGTCACCTGTCATTGTGCATATAATTGAGGCTGCTTGCAAGACTTCATCTATGGCTCTTACAGCTGTGATCTCCATCACATGAGCAAGAGAGTCACATTCCCACCCAAGCTCTGTAAGAGTCCACTTAATAGCTGAACCTAGAGAACATATGAAAGCGTGTTCCTTTCTTGACCAGGTCCCAGGACAATCTGAATGTCCTGGAGTTCAGGGTCATCCAGTCAGCCTGCATGGCATTCCTGTCTGTTCTCTGGGACCCTATGGTGCAGATCTTACTGGACAACATGTCTGCAGTGCACTACATCAACAAGCATGGAGATGCTGGGTCATCCCCTCTCTGCTAGGAAGCCATTGGACCTGGCGTCATCACCATGGGGTAATCGCATTGGCTCTTCATCTTCTAGGAATGAGCAACAACCTGGCAGA